TTGATCGATTTAGTATTAATCATCCTATTTTATCTTGCAAGATTTTAAAAAAAATTAATAATCAATATCAATTGGAATGTAAATTTGGTGTAATCAATATATGTTATACTTCAGATAAGCTTGAAGCACTTGGACCTACAACTTATATTGAATTTAGCAAAATTTCATCTAATCAAATATCTATTCGTAAAGCAGCAAGACTTCAAAGTGTAGAAATGGTATTAGGTTCAATTTGTAATTATAAGAATACATGTGATAGTAAAAAATGTAAATGTAAAAAAGCAAATTTGAAATGTACAAGTTGTTGTTATAGTGGTCATTCTTGTTTAAACAAAGAATAATACATATATGTTAGGTTATTTTTTTTAATAAAATGTAGTGTTGGGATCTGTTTGACTAAACATCCAGATATCTGCAGATGTTTCAGATATCTGGATACCAAAATAAGTTAATGGATAGTATATCTGGATAATATAAATAATTAATGATCATCCAGATGGTTATTCAGATAACTATATAATAAAATTAGCTAAATGATTTTTTTGACTGATTTAGCTAAATTTGTAATTTTAATATCGATTCAATAAATTGGTACATATAAATAAATATAATTTAAAATTATGTGACTAATATATAATAAGTATTATTATGCATATGTATCTCTGATTAAATATAGAGATATGATATTTTTGAAGCATCTTTATTGGCAAATAATTAGAAAGCTTATTAGTTTGAAAAAATTTCTAAACACTTAAGTGTTAGCAGATCTATAAGTTAAAACACTTCTATCATTTTTAGAAAAACTATGTTTTTTCAAGTTATATTTTTAAATCAATCAACAAATTTTTGATAATATCTAACCTTTTAACATTAGCACCTATTTATAAAATATGTTTTTTTCTTTAAATTTCATACAAACTAAACATAATGAACATGCTGAGCAAGTATTCGACCAAAACTTTAATAATGTTGAGTATGTCAATATTATAATGATAATATTATCTGTGGAATAAGTATTACATGTAATATAAAGATATATATTTTTTATATACTAATCATAGAGAAATCAATAACTCATTTAGCTAATTTTTATTAAGTGTTCTCGGAATTATAAGAATAGCTGTAATAATTTCAGCAGATTGTAACTAATAGTATTCTTATATATAGCAAGTTATGCTGCTAATATCAATTACTTGTTCAACTACAACTATTAGATTCATGCTCAAAATATTTGTCTTCATGAATATCATTAACTCCATTGTTTGTTGAAGTAAAATGAATAAAATCAGATCAGTGTATAAATTATTTATATGTACTTTTTGGCTTTCCATGATTTATTGTCATAATCTATAGCTTATTTCATAAAATCGATTATTCTAATTATCTGTGACTTAATAATATATGACACTATTAAGAACCTTACCGATTGAGATAGTATCTTTCTTCATATCCTATCACAGTATAATCTAAGATATAATTGGAATCATATTGAAGCCAGATCTCAGAAATACTAATTGATAATACTTATTGCAATCCAATAATATCACTAGTAAGACTTAGAGACTCTAAAACTTGGACCAGGTCTTTTTACATCTTTTCAAGCTTTTTATTTGGGATTTTAAGTCTTATTTTGATATATATGTATTATTGTCATATGGTTATAGTGTTTGATTTTAGTATTATTAGCATCCATTAGTCATCCTGAAAACATTTCTAATAATAGAGATAGAGAATATAAAAATAGATCTGAACGAATTATTCTTTTTATACTATGTTAATTATTATGTATAAGATGTAGGATGTTTGAACTATGAATGTAACCCAAACTATTTGGAAAGTTGTAACAGTGAAAAATAGTTCTATAATAGTACAAACTTGATGGAGGTTCAGTATAAGACAACTATTTAACACTATACTAATAATTATCTCCTTCTACACCCTATTTAATAGACTTCGATAGAGGTGTGAATTGATTTGATCTAAGTATAGGGTATTCTATGTTTGCTACGGTAGTCACAAGATCAGCACTAAAAGATTCTAATGCTGAATACTGTAACTATTGATCGGGAGAGCGAATAACAAACTAGGGAGAAAAGGTCAATCTAACTCTAATGGTATATGGAGAGATAAGGCAATATTTAATTCTACGAATGTTCTAAAATTCAAGTCTTAATAAGCTATATCGAAGTTACAAGTCAATTCTATTCATCGAATTGAGTCTCGAATGGGTTATCAAAGTTACAAATCAATTCTATCCATCGAATTGAGTCTCGAATAGGTTATTAAAGTTACAAGTCAAATTCAAAAATAATTCACAAGTGAATATTTAATATGTATATACTTTTATTTAGTCAAGGTGGAACAGAAGATGCTTTTTCTTTATTGAAGAACTGGTGTTTATATGCATTTTAATTTTTAAAGTGTCATTGCCAATTTTTTAGCGATTACATTGTTAATTTGGCATCGATGCTTAATTTTTAGCATTCCTGCTAAGTTTTCAGCATTGACACTGAATGCTATGCTACCAAGCTATTAATAATTACCTTTTTTGTATAAGTTATTACAAACAATAAAGAAATACTAATAAATTTACTAAATTTAGGTACTGTTACCAAAGGAAATTGGAGTTACAAGAAATTTATATACATTCAGAAATATTATTGATAATAAAAATTTAGTTACAAAATGTAGTGAGTTAATTTTAATTTGTTACAATACTTGGATTTTATTTTACTACTATTCTGTATTTACTACTTGTAACCTTATTTACTAATATTCAATATCTCTTCTCTACTATTCAAGTATGCCTGGGTTCTAATCGACTTTTAGTTCTCTAATTTTGGGTTACATAATTTATTTCAGATCAAGAGATGCTAAAATTGATGCAATTGAATTATGTATGTACTGTATAATGTTTAACAAATAGGTTAATCACAAACATAATTACTAAGTTTTTATATAAATAAGAATTGATTACTAATACAATCTTTCTTTTACTTTGAATAAAATAATGATATTGAATCTAGCAAAAATCATGAGGCAAAAAAGGCTCAAAATAAAATATGATAATGTTGTTATAACAAAAAGGCACTTAAGAAACTACTACTACTATTTACTTTGTAGTTTGAACTTAAAAGAAGAGTATTCAAACTCAGAAGGATTGTTCTTTATTGATAGTGAATTTTTGATGTATAAATACATTTTTGTTCTCTAATTTTTACTTTGCATTTTTTTACCATTTCGCCTATATCTATTATATCTGCTCTATATATCATATATATGGCATTTTTGTCATATGATGACCATATCTGCTATATCTGACATATGTGACAGATTTGGCAGATATGTCAGATATTTTTGATTTGGTCAAGCCATCTTGGAGTCAATCATTACCAATTTTTCTTTTCACAATGTCACAAACCATGTGATAATTAGTATAGCATTAGTTTTAATTACTTTTTTATTATTATCAAAACTATATAATACTAATTAATACATAGTTAGAGATGCCCTAATGATATCGGTAACATAAATTGTAAAAGATCTCAGGCATGTTTTTTGTGATGTCATAGTCTAAGAATATTATATGTATTGTAATTTTCATGATTCTGATTTACTTAGGTCTGGAGCCACTAACCAAAAATATAAAGTGATTAAAACTTATAATTGTGTGTATAAAGAAAAATTAATATTACTAAAAAAGATATGGGGCTGTAAGAAGGCTGTAAAAAAAGTATAAAATTCAAAAGAGAATTTAGAATGCTTCTAATTTACAAGGAACAGGTGAAATCAAGTTAGGTTAAAAAAAACTTTAATTAGTAATCGAGAAAGAAAGAACAAAGAATTTAATAAAAATACTTTCTATTGCCAAGCCAAAAAGCCTCAAAACAATGAATCTTCTTGTGCTTTGAAATGTAAGCTAGATTAGATAGAAAATAATGAAAGCTTTTGTAAAATATAAAAAAAGTATAAAAATTTGATAAAAATGTGCATCCTACTGTCACAGTCAAAATTCAACAATTCCAGGACCAAGAATTTTTGCCTGATTGTCATATAAGAAGTCCTGAACTTGAACTATAGCATAAATATTAATATTCTGTGAATGCATGCACAAAAATCCTATTGAACAATGTATAAATACAGATTATAAGCCAAGCCTCAATGCAAAATCTATTATCTAATCTAAAAAAGGAAAGGTTAAATTTGGCTAACCTGTTTCGTACAATGGATCAATTTTGCCTTCTTTGAATTAAAGCATGGCCATATTCAAAAAAGTGTGATTGTGAGAATTTGATGCTAGAAAAAATGGTGTAAATGAGGTTCTTTTTTTTTTTCTCTTTCAGTTTTGTTTTGTAAATATTAAAGTGATGAAGGGCTGTGTGCAAAAAAATAATGTTAATACAAATAAGATGAATTGGGCTTATTTCAATGAAAAATAGAACACCAATCTTCAATTTTGTTCTTTTTTCTTTCTCTATAATTCATTATAAATAGAGGAAGAATTTCTTTCTTGAAATGCATGCCTTGTGCATTACTTTATATTAATAAAGTAAATCTTGCAAAATCATAAAATACCAATGCTCCTTATTTTTGGTTGTGCAATCTGAGCATAATGCCAACTCGACTATTGGCTTGAACCTTTGCCAAATCATTTTTCACTTTTATTATATCAAGTAACATTATACAACATCTCGAATTTTCGAGTAACAATCATCTCTCTTGTTTGTTGTTGATGTATATGTTTTTATCAATTCACCTCTGATGCTACCTTGGGTTTCCCTATAATAAAGTTATAATTTGTATTTTTCTTTTTCTTATAACTTACTACCTTAAATCTTAAGTAAAATTCTTTGTCCATTTTTTGAATTCCTTTTAGCATTGAGCTTAATTATAGCCTATAATATTTTATAATATTATATTATTAAAGTTCAAATCACCTAATTAAATATAAACTCTTATTCATTACTAAGCCCAAATTGATACTATTAAGACAAAGAGATATGATTCTTAATAAAAAACAAAAAAAACAAGAACTTTCAAAAAATCCAAAAAGATCACGAATATCGAATGATAATTATGCTTTCCAATCTTCTGAACCTATTGAGTCTTCTATTGAAAATGCTGAAACTACATCTGAAAATGAAGAGTGCATATCAGATACCAATGACAATCTATTACAAAATTCAGACTCTATTCCAGACAGCTATAGACCTTTATCAAAAGCAAGTGCCAGCAAGTTAGGTAGTGAAGTTTGAAATTACTTTTGCCCTTTAGAACATATAGCAACAGGAAATCATGTTGGATGGTGTTCTCTGAAGATTATTTGAAATCATCAAAAGCAAACATGCAATATAATCTGTAATACTGGTGGATTGACAGGAAATATGTGGGACCATCTTTCTAGTGTACATAGAAGCACTAAAGAAAACAGCTTGAAATCAACAAATCAGTTAAAAATAGATGCTATATTTAAAACTAAAACTACTATTTAAAATGCAAACAAAATCAAACTTGTTCTTTAGTCAAGTGGATTATTAATAATGCGCAACTATTATATCTTTTAGAATCACAAAAATTTAAAGCATTTGTTGCCACTTTGGATCCTTATTATGAATTACCTACCCGTAAAGCTGTTAAATCAATGATACATGATGCTTATAATTTTTCTTCTAATATTTTGAAACAAAAATTAAGAGATACTGCAACTTCATATTTACTTATATGTAATCTTTGGACTAGTAGAAATCATAAAGCATCCTTGGTATTACCTGTCATTGGATCGATCAGGATTTCAAACTGAATGAGGTTTTACTTACTATTACACTCTGTTCTTATCCCTATACAGCAGAGAATATTTATAATACCTTGTTTAAGACTATGAATTATTGAAATATATTGCATAAGGTAAAGGCAATTACTACAGATAATGCTATTAACATGGTTAAAGCTATTGAATTTTTGGAAATACAAGGAATTAGTCAGATCAAATGCATAGCTTATACACTGCAATTAGTTGTCGGAAAAGGTTTAATTCCAGCCCGAGCTCTTGTACTTGTACCAAAAGACTTATTGCATTTTTTGTTTCTTCAAAACAGTCAGAAAGGCTTGAAGATGCACAAAGGAAATTACTTATTTCAGAAGATAAGGTATATTAATTAATTATTTGTATTGTATAAAATCCTAATTTACTCTTATAGTAATAGCTCATACAGAGAGATTTTTAAAATTCGGACTGGAATGCATCAGAATTCTGATTAGCTAGGCCAGTTTTGTCAAGTTCACTAAAAAATTTACTAATAAATTATTGCCAGTATTGTAAAATTACAGTAATTTATAATCAGTTTCTAGTAAATTACTGTAAGTTATCAGTGAAAAAAACTCGAAAGTTTCTATGCCTTATATTCTTCATAGTAGCTTATAGGTAATTTATCATAGTAACTTATCATAGTAAGTTATTATGATCATTGCTATTTATTAATTAAAAAATCTCTAGCTAATAACTTTGCTATAGACTCTGCTAACTAATATTGATAACCTAACTTCAATGCATTCCGACCAGAATTTTAGTAACCTCTATATAAGTTTATAACAACAGCATAGAGTCAATTGTCTTTTGTATCACAAATTTTCTATAGACTAGGGTGAGGGTATAAAAAGATTTTTGTATATACTTTAGACTAAAGATACACCCTTTTTGTCTAAGCATACTTCTGTAAATACATATACAATCAACCTTCTATAAGTGTACTTTTCAAAAATGCATATTGTCATGATTGTCTATAAATACATGTTTATTTGATCTAGTGTCATAGGTAAATGAGTAGCCTGCATTACTAAAAGCCTAGTTCTAATGATGTATACAAATGACTTTTGCTTGAACCAATAACAAGGACAATACAAGGGCAAGTACACTTATTTTTATTTGACCGATTAATTAAAAAATATATTTACTAATTTTTATTACCTTTGCTTTTCTTATAAATACCTAATTGACATATTACAAATTAATCATGCTGCTCTTAAGTTTTAAATAAATTACATACTGATACTTTTTCATGTATAACATGCTTATACTTTACTTTTTTTTTTTTTGGTATCCTCTTTGGTCTTTTGACTTTTATTAATCACTTATTAGTATTGTGGTTTAATGAACCACTACAGGAGAGTATACAATTGGCTACACGTGTAACTTTTCTATATTACCTATTTAAGGAGTCTGCCCGAAGGTTTCCCACCAATTGCTGTACCTAACACCCCTGCTTGGGTGTTCCACTTTAAACACTCTAAATCTGTAACCTGTGTTAATATCACTGGTCATCACTGATGTACTAGATCATCGTCCGCAACTTTGGACTAATTTATCCTTGAGGTAAACCCTCTAGAGCCTTCTGTACCTATTTTTACAGCTGACCTAGGTATCGCTATGGCAGAACCAACACTTGTGGTCAGGGCTAACC